TGGTGTCCCCCGCCGTGATATTGCTGGAATATTGCTAAAAGCGGCGTAAAACCATACTCAGTCAGTCAGTCAGTCAGTCATCCCGGCGACTTCATGATCAGCCTAGATATACAAGACGCGTACTTACACGTCCCTATCCTGCCAGAGCACCGCCAATTTCTTCGGTTTGTGTTCCTAGGCAAACACTACCAATGGCGAGTGCTCCCATTTGGAATTTCTTCGGCCCCGTGGCTATTTACTCGCCTCACAAAACCCATCGTCAAGTTCTACACACTCGCGGCATCATCTTAGAAACGTACATCGACGACTGCATTCAAGCCAACAAGGATTCGAACACTCTACTTCATCACCTCGATTTCTCTCAACACCTACTTCATCAACTAGGTTGGATCATCAACCCAAAAAAGTCCGAAACTATTCCAACACAACGTCTCCAGTTCATCGGAGCCCTCTTTGACACGAGTCTGGGCAAGATGTTTGTACCCCAAGATCATTGGGAGAAAATCCAACGCCTCGTCCCATTGGCACTCAAACAGCCAATTTCCTTACGTCAATGGCAACAACTTCTCGGTCTCCTAACATCAGCACAAGCCCTCACCAAGAGAGGTCAACTTCACTTACGGCCAATCCAGTGCTTCCTCAAGCCCTTCCTTCAGGACGACGATTGTCAGGTTCTAATATCTCTTCCAAACCATCTACACCCACACCTCAAATGGTGGTTAACTCCATCAAATGTCTGCGAAGGAGTCTCCTTGCAACCATTCAGCCCGACCCCCCACCTGTTCGTCGACACCTCAACCGTCGGATGGGGAGCTCATTGCCAAGACCTACAAGTGGCATGGCGGTGGTCATAAGAAGAAAGCCAGCTTCACATCAACAATCTAGAATTCAAAGCAGTGATTCTGGCAGTGTCTCATTGGTCAACACTCCTTCAGTCCTCCACACTAATGATTCAGTCAGACAACCTATCGGTCGTGTGGTACATAAACAAGATGGGATCCACCAAGTCAACGTCACTTCTATCTCTAGCACTCGACTTCTTCAAACTGATCGACTCACTCAACATTCAAGTTCGAGCGAGACATATTCCCGGCATCGCCAACCTCATAGCCGACTCCCTGTCCCGACCCGACAAACCATCTCCCACGGAATGGCGTCTACATCCCGTGATTTTTCAGTGGATTTGCCAGTTATTTCCGTGCCCAGACGTCGACCTCTTCGCAACCCGCTTCAATACTCAGCTATCCCGGTTCGTATCTCCTATCCCAGATCCCCTAGCCTGGGACCACGATGCGTTAGCAATCCCATGGGAAGGACTACATGCTTACGCCTTTCCCCCAACCGGCATTCTACATCGGGTTCTACAGAAGATATCAACGACCAATCGCCTCACTCTACTTTTGGTCGCGCCCTACTGGCCAACACGCAGTTGGTTCATAACGCTCATTCGTCTCGCAGACAGAAAGTTTTACCATCTACCTGTAAGGGACGATCTTCTGCATCAACCACACTCTCAGCTCCGTCATCCGTCGCCAACAACCCTCAATCTATGCGTTTGGCGCGTGGCCAAGACCATTGCGGGGGCGCACAGGTCATCTACTAAAGCACTATATGACCATAAATGGAAGGCATTTGAATCGTTTTGTCATTCACATGACATTTCCTAACCTGCCACGGCATCCCCGCAACAAATTGCTGAATACCTTCACTATCTTCGACCATCTCGTAAACTAAAAGGTTCGACTCTAGCTACCTATTTAGCTGCGATCAATTCTGTCATCGCAACTACAACGGGCACTAAGATTTCAACAATCGCCGAATTACAATCATTGATCAGATCGTACAAGTTGGCGGACCAAACATCACGTTTTCGACGACCAACCTGGGATCTAAACATCATACTTCGCCATCTAACGTCGGCCGAGTACGAACCTCTCGCCGAGAAAGATTTCGAACACATTTCTTTGAAGACAGTTTTCCTTCTGGCCCTTGCAACGGCGGCTCGAGTGAGTGAAATTCACGCTTTAGACGTCAACAGAGTGCGTTTCGAACGAACTGCACATGGGAAAGTATTTTTGGGACTACGATGGGATTTCATCGCCAAAAATCAACTCCCTGGTCAACCCGAGACTATTCAGTATCCCACCGTTGACTGCCCTCTTAAACCCTGACGAAGACATATCGTTGTGTCCGATAGGTGCACTTCGAATCTATCTGGAAGCGGCGAAACCACTTCGTCGATTACGTAAGAGGTTATTCATCCCGCTCTCTGCGGCAGCTACTACGGAGGTATCCCGTACCACAATCTCGTTTTGGATACGCTCAGTTATCCTTCGAGCCTACACCTTCGCTGGCCTACCTGCTCCAGTCGCATCTAATCCTCACGAAACCCGTGCTGTCGCTTGCACCATGGCACTTCACAGTAATTGCTCCTTGACCGCAATTATGGAGGGATGTTTTTGGAAATCCGATACCGTGTTCGCACCCCATTACCTCCGAGACATCTCAGTGACGGACGTTCAAGGCCTTCACCAGTTTGGACCCTTGGTACTCGCACAACAGATCTCCAAGACACACCTGCGCAGATAGGGAGATGTATAACCAGATTTTCATTACATTACATCCATCTCTTTTTATAATAAACATTTGTCATGATTATTGGTGTTTATTGTATTCATTCGGGCTTCCCAGACTGAGTATCCGGTTGGAGGGTATAATCACTCGTCTGTAGAGACCTTGGTCTTCAACTTGAAGTCGATTTCGGTGTCCCGATCCCTTATTTCAAACACCTCTACTTTAGGTATGTGTGATGAGTAACGGATCGATGATCCTTTTGTGGATATTGTTGATCGTTTCCTCTTCTCGTTTTTTACCCATGGATTCAATCACTGACATGATTGAGGGTTTGACGAAGCGATAAAAGAGATGCCGAGCGGGTCCAACCTATCGTCCTCTGGAGATAGGAATACCCCGTTTTGTAGATTCGACGACTGGATGTATACTCTCTCGAATATAAGTCGTACTCGTTCGTTTTAGACATGCGATTACGCTTGATTACGTTTGAACATGTTACACATGTTGTACCCGACTTATTGTGTTTCAGTTGTTCGCGTATCAGGATCTCAACATTCCTTTGAGAGTGTTCTTCTTATCCTGTCTACGAGTTGTTATTTTTGTGTGTTGTTTTTTGTTTTTTTGTTTTTGTCTTACGACACTTAACTGTGTTACTGTATTAAGTATTGTACCACTGTTAAGTTCCAGCTTCCTCGTAAATATCCTACGGTTGTGATCTATAGACAAGGGAGTTGCGCCCCACCATCCAACCATGGGATAAAATGCATAGTGTCAGATAGGATAAGTTTAAAAATTTGAAAATTTTATTATAAATTGTATATTTATATACTTATCCTATCTCACACGTTATATGCCCACCCGTCCATCCCCACATCGCAATTCCTTAGTCTATATGCTCTTGAAAGAGAATGAGTTGACTGGGATAGACACGTGATCAGTGCAAGAAGGTCAACCAGCATGCATAGCGCGGCGCATGACCCACATCTTGGAGGTGACCGTGACGATGTGAGGTATGACGGGGTAAATTAACTTTAGAAGCTGGAAACTTTTATTTCAGATACGTTTCCACTCAGAATCGAAAGAAGAAAGAGAGATGCATAGTGTGAGATAGGATAAGTATATAAATATACAATTTATAATAAAATTTTCAATTTGTACAAAAGAATATATTTATATCATAGAGGTTTAATACTTGTACAACAGAAATAATCGTAACGCCAACATTAATTTTACTATACGATGCGGGTACAATATGAATTCTGATCGTTCTTGTTGGAAGTAGTTCTCGTGTTCATACGCCAATGTGGAAACCTTCGATAGACATTCGTCACCACTCGCCCCTTTCCGTAACCTGCAAGAAGACTCGTCCCATTATCGATGAATGTTATGTGCGAAAATACGACAAACCAATCAGAATGCGCGTGTGATTTCAAGTTCTTCGTCAAAGAATCCCTCAGAAATAATTTTTTGATTTTACATATGTCTTGCATCTAGAAATATACCCAAGATACATTTAAATGTGTTCAATCATACTGTATAATTCCGCACGTCCAGATGTGCTTTAAATTGCTTCTGAAATATATATAATCTATGGGGAAATATATGTGAACCATTACGCAACGAGTTGACAATTGTTTTAGGTATGCCCGTTTGCGCTAAGACGGAACCCGGTCGCAAAAATTGCCATGAGAGGGGCACGAGTCGCTATTCGGCTTGTCCCGGAATAACACGAGTTGGTCACGAATGCTTCGAGAGAGTCACGAGTCTCCATTCGGTTTGCTCCGGAATGGCAGTGGTTGGTCACGAATGTCCTGAGAGCGGAGGGTCGGTTGTTCGATCTCCGAACTTACAACTAGATTCATACCAAAAGACGTTAAAAGATGGTACTTGTTGTTACCCTGTCTGGCGCTCGGCCCAAAGGGGCTAAAACAAGGACTGGTCGGCTCGGGGTCAGTATACTGTGTCTTAGTGGGGTATTCATGTTAAACTGCGGGATAGTATCTCAGTTAGCTAGAACTATAATACCGGCATTAGCCGAGACTAGTACATACACATACGTACATAAATGTGATAACCTTGAACGCGACGTTAACCCCCATTTCATCTCATCTCACATGTTATTTCTCTTAGTGCTATTTGCTTAAAGCGGGGTAAAACCAAACTCACTCACTCCCGGTGCTATTTCCCCTCGTTTCCCGTTAAGCTGAGGCTACTTTGGCTCTGCAGTAAACATCGCGTACATACAGGTACAGCTTACAAGTAAGGCATGCGAAACACGAGCTTCCCCTGTGCGTGGCGCCGTCTCACAGTGGTGTATAACTCAGTAATTAGTGGAATCTCTAACGCCAAGAGATAACATAATCTCATACGCCCCAAACAGCGATATATAATCATGTTATTATGAAATCCCGGTATCAAATATGAACGTTGTTTTCATATTTATCAGCATGTCAAAAGGTATCGCTGTATTTAGAATCTTAACGAACGGCGTAATGGAAGATAACTGACATGTAACTGGTTTGTCTTCAAAGGCCAAGGCTAAACCGATGAAAGACAGTATGACCTATCGTACCTTCGAATTAAACTTCATTTGCTACAACGCCCGAGTACTGGCGCAGAAGCAAGGACACACCTGGAGATAAGAGTGTCGTCTGCTCCTCAAACATCAGACGACATTTTAAACAAGTGAGTAAACCGGTTGAGCATTTCGCGCAACTTACAAAAAAGGTTTATTTACACATATCCGTGCTGCACGATTGAGATAACAGTGACTAATGAAGAAAACGTCTGCCTGCGAAGTTCTCCTTGTTTAGCCCATGCATGGTATTGTCGAGATATACCTCTCCAACGCCCGAAGCGTTATTTCAACTCATATCCATCGGACTGTTTAAACAACACTATAAAGACGTGTGTTGGTCTGTGTCAGGAGCTGCCCCAAAGCCAGAGCTTTCGGTGATATAGACCGGCGTACTGCCTTCAAAGCAAAGCGCGTGCACATCTGTCTGGTGTGTATTTCACATTAAATATCAACCGGCAAAGCTAACGGCAGCAACATGGCGATGCAGGAGGATATCGAGCTACCGTATCTCACTGATGGATACCTGGGCAAGCAAATGAAGTTTGACAGCTATGGATTAATCACTGTTTCCCACCCTGATCCCTTTATCAAAATGGATTCGGATCGGGTCGAGATAATCATCGGAACATCAGAAAAGATTCGAATGACGACGAAAATGATTTCCATGGGGACGAAAAAGGAGTGTAATGAATATAGCCTTGTCAGAATTCAAGGTCCCAATTTCTGCTTTCTTCTCCGGCCACCAGTTCAAGGATTCTATAAATTCCAAATCTACGCCCTCCCGTCGGGCGAGGCTGGACCTCAGATGCAAGGAGTCATCAACTATGTTGTCTATTGTCCAGGGCTGGCCGCCGATGTCCAGCCTTTCCCGAAACAGTACCCTCAGTGGAAAGATGGCTGTTACCTTTTCGAGCCCTACAGCATCCCCAAAGGTACCAGAGAGCCTGTTGGGTTCAAGGTCTACGTTCCAAAGGCCAAAGACGTGCAGGTGAAGGTGGGAAATGATTGGAACCCGCTTGAACAGACCGAGCCAGGTACATTTGAAGGCACTGTGGACCTCAGTAATAATTACCCCCCAAATACTTTGGCGAAACTCAATGTTAAATATATGGGGAATAACTACAATACATTGTTGGAATATAAACTTTGAACTTTCAACATTCATTGTTCCTTGTTGGGCTGTGCCCGTTTTACGGATTTTCACGAATTATTTTTGGAGTGTTTTTTAGTTGTTTCTCACATTTGTTTGTGTTACACAAATGGCCGCACTTCTTCATGGGATGGAAGGTCTCATTTGCAACAGATGTATGGGCACAAAGACATTCTGATATTTTCCACTTGATGCTGTGACTTTTCTCGAACAGTATCCCTCTCTCGAAGTATACCGTGGGTACGACAAAAAATGTTTTACAAAGTATCATTGAATGTTTAATATTCCAATATTTCGGATTACTGCAGGTCTTGATTCTGAAATCAGGTACGGGTTTATTGTGTGTATGATAATTTAATAAGGCTCTGTCAGCTAACATATCAAATGTAAATCTCCACTTTTTACACAATATATTTGCATAATATTCTTTTTAATCATACTGTTACACACTGATTTGTTCCAAACGGAATAAAATTTTGCATAAAAAGCTTTCTTGTAAATTATGTTTACGCATGGGATTTTCACACCTCATTGTTAGTGGTACTGACGTGCCAGCAGGGCTGAAGACTATGTGCGTCATACCAAACGACGTTAAAAGATGGTACTTGTTTATACCCTGTCTGGTGCTCGGCATTAAAGGGACGAAACTCCGGTGTATTATCTCGGCACGTCGAAATGATCTTTCGCCATTTCACCTCATGCGCTGAACTGGTTTGCCTGGGCCAGAGTATTCACATGCAGCCGTACTGCAGCTGGGATGTTACCGGTAACAGCCTCCCCTCACTCACTGAGCTTAGCAGTTAAGCGTTCGCTCGTTACGCCAAAGGCTCGAGTTCGATTCCCCACATGGGTACAATGTGTAAAGCCAATCATATGCACTATTTTACAGCTGAGATCTATGAATGAAGTTTTGATCGTAAGATTGTGATTTATTTATAGACTGTATATTGTAGTCCTCGCCCTATACCCCGCCACGTGGTGTAATTAGAGAGTCTGCCCGGGGAACGGAAAGTCGTGAGTTCGACACACGGCTGCGTCATACCAAAAGATGGTATTTGTTGCTACCCTGCCCTGGCGCTTGGCATTAAGGGGCTAAAACAAGGTCATGTCATGTATATGTGTGTGTGTGTGTGTGTGTGTATGTGTGTGTGATGGTCGGAGTCGTGTGTGTGTGTGTGTGTGTGTGTGTGTGTGTGTGTGTGTGTGCGTGTGCGTGCGGCCCCCGTTCAATAAGTTTTGCAACTTCAATATAAGACCAAGTCGCCGAATATCTTTTGCACTTTTATTTTTCAATATAATCTCCATTCACCTCAATACATTTAATCCATTTGTCCTTCAAGCTTTTAATACCACTTTTATAGAAATCCGCAGATTGGCCCTCTAACCACGCCTCCTATTCCATTACACAGACGTTCATACATCTTTAGGGGCGGTCGGGTAGCCTAGTGGTGAAAGCGTTTGCTCGTCACGCCGAAAACCCGGGCTCGATTCCCGACATGGGTACAATGTGTGAAGCCCATATCTGGTGACCCCCGCCGTGATATTGCTGGAATATTGCTAAAAGCGGCGTAAAACCATACTCACTCACTCACTCATACCTCTTTCAGTTCGCAACAGATTGATGCTTCATGAACCTATACATTTTCTTAAAACTTTTTATTTATTTTATGAACCTATACTTGCCAAACAGCAAAGCATACAATTCTAGAAACACTGCGCCTTAAAAAAGTAGTATCGCTCAAAATCCCCAGTAAAATACTCTTTTATCTACCCTCTTTCGATGTTGAATCAACACTGAGCTGAAAAACCCCCAAAGTTGCTTTATTCAAGATTTAGGCAAGGAATACGGAATTTTGTGTGCTAAGTTATTCATCAATGGTTTGTGATGCAAGGCACAGCAGGGACAACATGACACCCTGCGAGGAGGTAGAGAGATGGCAGCCGTGACCTTTGAACCTTGAATACAAGTATTTGTATATCTCTGACAAGCTAAAAGGTCATCAGTACACGCATCACGTACTTGTCTAAAGCGCTTTATTTGCCCTTGTGCTGGGATGCAGAGAAACACATGCGAGGTATTGTCAGTGCGGAAAGCTTGGAACTGCAGATTCTCTGTAAGTTGGGACTGCGTTTCGGTTTGCGCACATATTTATTCGCGGAGAAATGGTTACTTGAACCCTTGGTGGATTGTAACAAGCTTACCATTGTTGATAAAGGTCTATTCGCCATAATTGTCAGTCCTTACACTTGGGGCAAGGGAAATCTGAGGCACAGACACTTTCGGTTCACTGTTACGCCCCTTCGGCGTACATTGACTGAAGAGATTGTCTGGTCCAGATTCGAATGTTTACAGACCGCCGTCATATAGATGGAGTTTTGCTGAATGCGGCGTTGAACAACAAACAAACAAAAACAATGATTGAAGGATCGTGGATTCGAATACCAGATTCGTCCTTATGACGACCCCTGGCCTGCTTACAGGTAACGACCCGTGAAGATCCGGGGTAGATAGGTCTTCAGCAACCTATGTTTGCCGTAAAAGGCGACTGTGCTTGTCGTAAGAGGCGACTAACGGGATCGGGTGGTCAGGCTAGCTGACTTGGTTGATGCATGTCATCGATATCCCAATTGCGTAGATAGATGCGCATGATGTCAATCACTGGATTGTCTGGTCCAGACTCGATTATTTACAGACCGCCGTCATATAGCTGTAATATTGCTGAGTGCGGCGTTGAACAACAAACAAACAAATGCTACAGGTAACCGTCTAAGATATGCGCCACTTTTGGATACCTCCACAGTATGCTGGCACGACGTGACATGACTTGCAAACTGCTGAAGCGGGGTTAAACCAATCTCATTCACACAACCACGCAGTGGTAAGACTCGCTGCACGTCATCGTATCCTAATAGCGTAGGTTAGGATGCTCATGTTGTCAATCACTGGATTGTCTGATTATTTACAGACCGCTGTCATATTGCTGAATCATTGCTCAGTGCGGCGTAAAAAAACAATCAAAAGGTGATAGTGAGGTAACCTAGTGGTTAAAGCGTTCGCTCGTCACACCAAATGTCCGGGTTTGATTTCCCAATCGGGCACAATGTGTAAGCCCATCCCTGATGCCCCCAGTCGTGCTATTGCTGTTGAATATTGCTAAAATCCTAAAACAGTCCCATCCCATGTTAAGTAACTTAATATTTGCTATGGACAATCAATATCGCGAATTCGATATCTATACTTATTAATAGTAATCTTATTCAGTACCCATTTTGACCACATCCCCATAACGTCGGTTCTATATACAACTCATGAGGACCGACTCATTTAATAAAAAATTACTGTTATTAAAGTATTATTTAGTATTTAGTATTAAAGTGTCTCATGTTGTTGTTGTTGTTGTTGTTGTTGTTTATAAACGCCGCACTCGGCAATATTCAAGCTATATGACGGCGGTCTGTAAATAATCGAGTCTAATAACTTGGTTGATGAGCCCGATCTCGTTAGTCGCCTTTTACGACAAGCATGGGTTGCTGAAGACCTATTCTACCCCGGATCTTCACGGGTCCAAAATGTACGTAAATGGTTGACCTCATTCTGTTTATACGCCCACAGAGAGATAGACAACGTGCAGAAGAGAGCAGGCAGGTTCTATTTGGTGTCCAGAAGGACACAACTATCTGGGCCCCGTCCCACAAAGCGATCTTAGCGCTACTATTGTCGTAAGTCTATGTTAAAGCAAGGGAATTACGATCGCGTTAGCGCTAAGATCGCTTTGTGGAACGGGGCCTAGTGCGCAGTTCGAGGAAAAATGGGATGGACACCGTGCCTAACAAAACAAGAATAGAGCGTTTTAGATGGTTCGACAAGGTCACCAGATGTAAAAGAATGACTCCCCACGTATTTTTATGATTAAAACCCACATCACCCGACACCACAACGACCCCCCACCCCACCCCACCCCCACCCCCCACCCCCCCTCCCCGAACCCACCCCACCCCCGTGCAATCCGTTCGTTCCTCAGATGATCTAATCTAGTCTTTGTCTGACCACGCCGGTCGAGTTTTGAAGCTAGAAGTATTACATAACGCAGTACAAGCTCATCGACCCACAGACACATGCATACGCATACGGGAATTTATGATATTTCCCATAATGCCGTACATTAAAACGGTTTTTGCTGATATTTAGTGATCCTGTAATTCTCACCGCTATTTTGCCTCTTATGATTATATTTTTTAAACACCTTGTAGTAGATAAATATGTTACAAAATACACACGTAATTTTTTCTCGTTTAGCTTGCATATTTTCTTGTAGTGTAATAAATAAGCAAGATTCAAAGAATACAGATAGTCACTGTTCATATTTTCATTTTGTTCATAGTATCCCCCCCCCATTCCTCCATCAAACTTAAAACTGATAAAAAGGAGATCATATATGTCAGTTTTATTAGCCAGTTTGTATTGTTTGCAACGTCCAAAGAATTATTTTTTTCGGTAATTAGATTTGGAATTGAAGCCGAATATGTGCTCGTCCGATTTCGGGATCACAATTATGTTCATTAAGTTGTATGTACATTATGCATGCATGTACACAGTTGTTTCCCTTACAAAATACAGATGGATTAGATATATGTCTCTACCTTAAGTCACATATACGACTTTCGAGAGCGTCATTAACCCGTAACCCCATTCCTTGGACAATAGAAATGAAATGCGTTGTAAATATTTTTTAAAAACAAGTCGTTTCTTATAATGACTTTCGATCAAACTGTCTTCGGGAATATAAATTTAATGCTAAAGTGCTTGTAAAATAAAGTTGAACTTTCACGCCAGGAGAGACTAGATATCCAATTATAGTATAGGCTCAGGCAGGAATATACATATTTATGTAGCAATTCTCTCTCCATTTAAACTGTATGGTTAACAATTGTGCGTTCTGATGTGAGTTATGTTGTTATCTACTACCTTTTTACACAGACAATGAGTCGGACACACACACACATATCAACTGTGGTAACGCCACAGCGATGGGGGCAGTGGGGTAGCCTAGTGGTTAAAGCGTTCGATCGTCAAGCCGAAGACCCAGTTCGATTCCCCACATGGGTACAATGTGTGAAGCCCATTTCTGGTGTTACCCCTGATATTACTGGATTATTGTTAAAAGCGACGTGAAACCATTCTCACTCACTCACTCACTCACTCACTCACTCACTCACTCACTCACTCACTCACTGCGGTGTTTATCAAATTACTATATGCAAGTACATATATTTGTAGATTTGCACAAGACAAGAAACACAATTCAAGTTAAACATACATCAAATGTCAAAAAGAACATTTACGGACAACCTTATGACACACTGTAACATCATATACTACCGAAAACAAGTTATAGAACACCCACAATTATAAGATTGTATTTTTGCAAAACAATCAGCCATGACTAATTAACCATAGTCTTCTTAACTTCTTTTGAAAAGTATATA